ATAGCAATTTTGTTCTCAAGCCCAGTTCCTAGATGGGTATCGATATCACAAAGCCATTTTCACTATTGCTACCCTTGTTTACAGTCTAACAATGGCCAAGGTTTGAATGGACACAGAGAATGACACAGCTCCTTAAAGGCTAGTGGAAAGACCTCCTATTCAGAGAAGATGAATAATAACCTCATCAGTGGCAGCTTAAATCACTTTCTTCAGGGCTTTATTTTACCGATTCTTAAACAAAAGGATGCCAAACAAAAACAAGCCACTCACAACAGTTGGGGTCAATGATCTGTCCGGCTTCTTAGCCAGCTAGGAAGGGAGGACACATTCTTCCCATTAGCTTGCTGCTGTCGCAACTACAACCCCTCTATCTTTGTGTCCCTATCATTTGATCACCCATGTGACATTTAGGAGTCTGGAGCCCCTCATGCACTGGAACATGTTGAGCACATTTCTACCTGGTGATGCCCTCCATCACTATAGGTGGTTCACCCCTATAGTGGATGCAGTGCTTCTATGGGAGAAGCTCACACTATCAATGCAGTCCCACTTCTGGGTTAACTAGGACACTTCACTTTCCAGAGCTGTCAGTTCAGTTCCTATTAGATATAGAACGTTAAGTTAAAAGTTAAGAAATTAAATGGCAATGTTTGAAGATGTCAGGAAGAACACTTTTTTCTGCTGTTTTGAAACTGGCTCATAATTTTGCATCTGTGCCAATTAAATTGAAAAAGAACTGGGGTGATATTTTTCCCTCCAAGATATGAATAGTGGAAGATTGGGGCAGATCCAGCAACAGGATTAATGTCAGTGAGATTTCAATCAAATGCACAGGATTTGATCCAGCAAGGTATTTGCTTAGGTTACATCTACACCAGTGGTCACCAACCTGTAGATTGGGATCTACTGGTAGATCTTGGAGCCTCTGACAGGGGATCCTGACTGGTTTGGCCAAGAGGCTACCAAGTGCTGGCACTTCAGCTGCTCCTCCCCTCACTGCTGTGGATCTCCTGCCCTTTGCCTTGGAGCTTCCACTTCCCACAGGGAACCTCCTGCTTTCTGTGCAGGGCAGGGAAGGGAGAGTAGATGTGCTCATGACAAGATGCCCCCCTCTCCCACCCTGTATCCTTTCTCCACAGAACAGAGAGGGGGCACAATTGGACTTGGGATGGAGTTTGCTGGCTGCTTTTAGGAATGGTGCAGGGCCAGGGCAGGGGTGAGCCTGCCTTAGCCTCACTGGACCACCACCCAGGATCCACCTGAAGTAAGCAGGGTCCAGCTGGTGCCCACATCCTGAAACCTTACCCCAGTCATGAACCCGCTCCTACACCACAAGTCCCTGCCCCAGCCCCAAGCACCCCTGAATCTAAATGCCCTCTCAGAGACTGCTCCTAGAACCCCCTCTGACACCCCAACTGCCTGCCCCAGGCTCAGCTCAGAGGCCCTCTCACATTCCAAATCCCTTAATCCAAGACCAGAGCCTGCACCCCAGACCTTTGCCTCTGCCTGGTGAAAGTAAGGGAGGATGGGGGAGGAGGGAAGGGAGGGAGGAAGGGAGGATGGAGTGAGCAGGGGTAGGGCCTCAGAGAAGGGGTATAAGGGAGGTGGAGCAAGGGTATTTGGGTTTGAGGAAGATCTTTGATTGCAATTAAATTCAAAAAGTGATCTCATGCTTAAAAAGGTTGGAGACCACTGATGTACACTATAACAGAAAGTTGGCTTAAGCTACCCAACTCCACCTACATGAATAACGTAGCTGGAATTGATGTACCTTAAGTCAAATTACCATGAGGTCCACACCATGGGATGCAGGTAAACAGGAGAAACTCTCCTGTTGACTTCGCTTATCCTTTTCTTTTGGGAAAGAATAACAAAGTTGATTGGAGAGTGATCTGTGGTTGATTTGGCAGGTCTTCAGTAGACCCACTAAATTGACCACCGTTGGTTCGATCTCAGAGCATTGGTCTGGGCTGTAGTGTAGATGTAGCTTTAAACTTTAGCACACAAGTAGTCCTCAACAGAGAAAAAAACTCAATGAATGCAATGATACTACTCACATGTTTCAACGCACTGCTTGATTAAGGCCTTAGGCTGTGTCTAGACTGCAGGCTTCTTTCGAAAGAACCTCTTTCGAAAGATCGCGTCTAGACAGCAGGCGGATCTTTCGATAGAGGAAATCCACTTTTTCGAAAGAGAGCACCCAGCGAGTCTGGATGCTCTCTTTCGAAGACGGCCTCTTTACATTGTAGAACGCCTTCTTTCGAAAGAGGAACTTTCGAAAGAAGGCGTTCTTCCTCGTGAAACGAGGTTTACCGCCATCGAAAGAAAAGCCGCGTTCTTTCAAAATAATTTCGAAAGAACGCGGCTTGAGTCTGGACGCAGGTGAAGATTTTTCGAAAAAAGGCTACTTTTTTCGAAAGAACCCCTGAGTGTGGACACGGCCTTAGTGAGGGACTAATACGAGTATAGGCTAGTGCAATGCAAGCATTCCCCACATAGCTTTGTCACTGCAATAGAATTTTGACCATCAGCACTCCCTGCTGTTTCATGTCTAGGGCTGTGTCCAGACTCAGGGTTTTTTTCGAAAAAAGTAGCCTTTTTTCGAAAAATCTTCACCTGCGTCTAGACTGCAGCCGCGTTCTTTCGAAATTAAATCAAAAGAACGCGGCTTTTCTTTCGACGGCGGTAAACCTCATTGCACGAGGAAGAACGCCTTTTTTCGAAAGTGCTCTTTCAAAAAAAGGCGTTCTTGAAAGCAAACAGGGCTTTTTAGAAAGAGAGCATCCAGACTCACTTGCTGCTTTCTTTCGAAAAAGCGGCTTGCTTTTTTGAAAGTTCCGCGTGCAGTCTAGACGCACTCTTTTGAAAGAGGCTTTTTCGAAAGTATCTTTCGAAAAAGCCTCTTTTGAAAGAGGCTTGCAGTCTAGACATAGCCTAGGGCTCATTTTCAGCACAGATTCCTAAATGTTTGTGTAGGGGTGGGTTGTGCATGTGTTGAGTTTTATTTGCCCACTGGGGATAAAAGAGAAGACCAAGCTTGTTTGAACTTAGGTCCCTGGAGCTGAATATCTTAATTTTCATTTGGATATGATGGATTTAACCAAAGTTAAATCTGGACAGTCTTTCTGAATTATGCTCACATCCACATTGAACCTTCTGAGGTCACCCTCCGGCATATCTGCTTAATTAGATGCTGGTTACAGTTTGTTCAGTGCCTTCAGTCTTGATATTTTTTACTCTGTTTACTTTAGCCGGCTGAGATGGATTAGCCTACTAAACATGTAAGATGGTAATTAGTTTAACAGCATGTTAGATTTATAGATCTGTTCAAATAACAACTCATTATTGGCTAGGCTAATTCTGTAATGTACACTAATTTAATTATTTCATACATTCTGAAGTAAACACAAAATGGCAGTGTGTCAATATTTTACCCTTAACATAAAGTCATCTGATTCAGTACTCTGGACTCAAGAAAACATATGCTGCCTGAAATCTAAAAATAACATATAACAAAAATAAAGGTTGCTTGTAATAAAATAAATTATGTTGACCTATTTCCGTCCTACAAAGGAAGATACAGTTCAAGTTTCAGATTGCCAGTTACTGTCCATTAATTGCAGTTCTGGTGAAACATTACAGGTCTAGCATTAAGGATAATCTGATGCCTAAAGGTGTGGTCTGTGACCCACAAGATGTAAATTCCTGATCACTGCTTTGTCACAAATTTCATGTGTGATACTCGTTTAATCCCTGATCTTTCTGTGACTCTGGTCCTCATCTGTAAAATGGGGCTAATAAACTTTCCTTCGTCTATTTCATTTGTAAAGCACTGGGGCAGAAACTCTGTAACTATATACAGCCTATAGCACAAGAAGTCCTCCTTTTATTTAAAGGAAGTAATCCTGCCAAAGGCTGGGTGCCTCTGGCTAGTGCTACATTTAAGCCTGCCCTGCCAACAATGTTGACTCTCCCCTTTTCTCTTTCTAGGGCCTTGTAACCTTGGTGCCCCAAAACTCTTCCCCCAGGAAGCATAAATCATAATTATATGATTACTAAAGTAGGTCAAAAGTTTTCAAATTGAAAAGGGGTGTCAAATGGAAATTCCCATCAAAGTCAATTTTTAATAAAATAGTTGGGGAGAGGGGATGTCAAAAACACCTCCTCCCAAAACCCAACCACCCCCCTCAAAAAATCTGGAAGCCACATTTTTTTTAAACAAACTTGTGAAAACCTTGAAATGTGGCAAAGTGAAGTTTTAAGGGGGAGAAAAGATTGCCTCCCCCCTAAAAAAAGTGTTTGCAAGAGACAGAACCATTCCTCAATGAGCTCTTCTGGGTAAGCCACCCCTCACTTAAGCAAAGGGAAGGAACACTCTGAACCCAGAATATCTTTCCTCCCTCTTTCTGCATTTTCTTCTTTCCAGATGTTTTCATCTGATAAAGGAGAGGAACTGCTGGTTGCTCTCTCCCCTTCCTTCCAGCCTTAGCAGGGGTTCCTTCCAGACCGCGGGGACACAGGTCTCCAGGGGAGGTATCTCCCCCAAGCAGTGGGCCAAGCCTTATAAAAGCCATGGTGTCCAACCAGTTCGGAAGTGGCTATTATTCTGGTTACTGCTTTAGTGAACTAGCTACACTCAATCGGCCAAATAGCCGCATGTGGCTAGTGGCTAACATATTGGACACCATGGTTTGTAAAGCCACCCAAGTCCAGGGGGAGCGATGCAAAGGATCAGACCCTAGCTGAAGGAAGGGTGGGGGAGGAGAATAAATAACAGGAAGAAAGTTGGAGGGGGGCATAACTTCACTTACCAGCTCACAGGGGGCTCAATTAAATCAATGGCAAACAGCTCCCATTGAACCTAGTGGGTGCTGCTGGATTGGGCCCTCCTTCCCGCCCACGTCTTGTTCTTCTTCCCTTCCCGGGAACCCGAGGAGAAGTTGCAGGGCTAAATTAATCCGCAGGCGGAGCCAGTGCAGCCCGGGCTGCCGGGTACTTGCCTTGGTGCCCAGCAGGATGCGGATCTCCTGCCTGTGCTTGTGCTGCTCCAGGATGCTGAGCAGGTGCTCCTGGAAGACGCCGATGCGGGTGAAGAAGTGCTCGTTGTCCCAGCAGCCTTCCAGGTTATCGAAATCCACCCCCAGCGCCAGCAGGAACCCGACGCTGCGCGGCTGCAGGGCGATCTGCTGGGGTCTGCAGAGCAGAGCGGCCCGCGAGCGCTCGTCCAGCAGCGTCAGCTTCAGCACCTTGCCCGAGCGGACAGCGACCAGCGCAGCCGTCAGCCCCACCGGGCCCGCCCCTACGATCAACACCGAGACCCGGGCCCGCCAGCGGCGGAGCCGGTCCACGCTCACCTTCACCGCCACGTAGAGCAGCACGGCCAGCAGGGTGCTCAGCGCCGTGTCCAGCGCCAGGCTCTCGTACTGCGCCTCCAGGGCGCGCAGGCGGCCGCCCGCCTCCTCCATGCTCCCCGGGGCTGGGCTCCGGGCAGCACCAGTCCCTGAGCTCCGGCCCCGGCAGCTGCGGAGCCTGCAGCACCCCCGCCCTGCACCGCCTCTACTCCTCGCTCCCTGCGGCTTCCAGCATGACCCCCGCCCCGTCGCCTGGCAAAGTCAAGGGCCCTCCCTCCTCCACTAGGGAGCCCGGGGAATCAACAGCGGAGGTCCGCCCCCCCCGTTCCCTTTTGACTTGGGTGGCACCACTCGCCTGGTATCCCCACCCCCAGGAAAGTTTCTCAGGGCGGCAGGGGAGGCTGGGTCCCGCTGGATCTACCCGGCTCCTGCCGATTTGTGGCGGCCAAACCCTGCTATTGGACCAGCCCGAACCAGAGATCAAGGCGCCAGAAAACTCCAGCCCGGAGCTGGGGGAGGAGGCTTCAAAAGCGAAGCGGAGCCAGCCGCGGGAGGTGGCCAAGTGTCGATTCCCAGCCTTCACATTCTTTAAAAGTTTAAAGAGAAAGTTTAAAGGGGCCCCCCACTTCACCCCCCTTCTTCCGCAGTTCTAGATCCTGCCACATCCCTGCACATTTAACGTTGGGAAGCTCCAAGCCCACCCCTGGCTCCAAAAATGTGCATTTCAAATAAAACACCCTCCCCCCCTCCCCCGCTCCGCCAGCTGCTCTTCCTTCGTCCTGCAGGCGTG